ACCTCAATAACGCGCGTCGCCTCGATAACGACGCGGCAACCGTTAACGAGCCCGTTAACGGCCCCTCCTTATCGAACTTTGAGCGTCCCTAATGTTGACGTCGACAGCTTGGCCGATAAAGGCATGTAAAGCCGAGCGCATGTTGCTGTGACTAAAATCAGCTTCCTGAGCACAATGCATCAGCAATGGAACTACCTGTCAGGTAATTTGATGGAGCGAACAAGAAGGGTCACGACAGAAACCAACGCGCCGGCATGTTCGATGCCTGTAATGCGACCCTGGCAACATGCCAGAAGGGAACGTAAGACATCTATAACCAGAATCGGGTTCATCGGGCCAACATTGGCTCCGATGTCCTGACTGAGCACATGTTGATGCACGGCCAAAAAGGCCACCATTCCTATAGAGACGCGTGAAACCAGATCGGGAAACTGCATCGTCAACTAGGTGCCGGAGCGCCGGAGTTTACGGACATACCGGTTCTCGAACTCTCCGGAAAGCGTTGATGACACGAATGAACTGCTGAGATAACAAATGGAAGTCCGGGAAGACCAAGACAGACTTTCCCACAGCACTTTGCGAATCTGATGGGGAAGTGGCGTGGAATGCCTGGTGGAAGCCGGTAAGCGCCTGAAGATCGGAGGCAATAGAGGCGTCTCCAGCAAGGCAATCGCAGAGGACCTCCCAGTGCAGAATGTTCCACTCCTTCGTTGTCAGCTGTATGAGGAGGGCAAGTCGGTGCATGCGGTTTGGGTCTTGGGAATCCTGAGATGCCGAGGGGTCAATGGTGATGCGGTGCACAGCGAGGAAAGGTTGAATGGCCAGCATGACAGCAAGAGGCAAATGGGGTATTTCTCCCGATCAGTCGTCCGAGGTCCGATGTGAACGTACCTTCTTTTCCCAAGATGAGAAGGGACTTCAGGCATCCATGCTCTTCTTGCACAGGTGTCTTCCCCCCCCCTCTGAGATACCAGTACCGCTTGCTCGCCATGAATACACGAAAGTACAATAGAAAGACCACGATCGACCGTAAAACCGGCAAATTGCGTTATGGCCGCACAAAGGCAGCCGAGGCGGCCGAGCGCGCCCAGAGGTTCCTCTTACCTTCGGTTCTTGCGGTTGAAGCCCCTGGCGTTTCTGGCGGAGCATCTGATCTAGGGACCGATAATGTTGAGGGATCAAGAGAAGACGGAGGGGCAGACAGGATCGGGGTGGAGGACGAAGAAACTCGTGCCGGACCGGCCGACCATGCCGGACCTGCCGGGCTTGCCGCTGGTGCCGAGCCTGCCGGACCTGCCGGCTACCCCGAGGCCTACAACTACGCGAGGGATGAACCGACATGGGGAGTGTACTCCGAGCAGCCCGAACACTTTGAGATACCGCAAGCTAAGCGGCGGGGTCCAGTGCGTTATGAAGTATTGCGTCTAGATCTGAATCTTGACACGTATACTAGAGTGGGCCGGAGCATGTTCGTGAATTTGTTCAAAACATCCCCCAATGGGCCTGGATCCTCATCCTGCGTCAAAGTCGCCCGACCGACGGTCTTTGTCAACGCTGTAAGGGGCCTTCTCGAGGCTCAGCTGACTGGCGATGTGTCGAGTGTTTCCGCGACCGGGACATGTGCATCTCTTGTGTTCGCGACGCCCATATAAATACCCCCTTTCATCGGGTGTACTGGTGGAATGGGAAGCACTACCGAGGGACATGGCTACGCGAGGCTGGAGTTGCTTTGCACCTGTGCCACAATGTTCCAAATGGACAACCGTGTCCGAGGAACCAGGCGGGCTTTTTGCCCCATATATCCCCTCGTGTGCCGGCGGGGCTACGATCGCGAGGCAGGGATAAAGGGAAAGGGCCGGCACGGCCGGCACCGGCTGCCGTCCCTTCTGGAGGTTCGGGACTCGTATCGCCTGACATTCTCTCCGTTCGAGGGCGTCCATCCCCTCAAGATAGTATGGATCAAGACGTTATGGGCGAGGCCGACGGTTGGGCGGCCGCAGAAGCCCAGCCATTAGGTCCCCTGTCCCACCCCGACGAGAGTGCATTTGAGCCGGAACTCAACATTTTGTATGGGGCATACGATGCGTATCGAGAGATAGAGGATATGGAGCCGGAGGAGGAGGAGGGAGGGACGGATGATACTCAGCACGCACCATCTGGAGCGGGAGAGGGGATCGGGGCTGCCGGGGAGGCCGGGGAAGCCGGCGCGGCCGGCACTAGCACATCACCTGCCGGGGAGGCCGCGAACACCGCCGATAGCGCCGAGGCTGCCGGGCATGCCGGGGCTGCCGGGCCCGCCAGGGCTGCCGACGAGCGGCCCCCGCCACGAAGTTCGGCGGCCATTCCTCGATACAATCTCCATGGCTTTGCAGTCTTAACTCTCGTCCACGACAACGGGGTTCATGGACTGGGAGTAAACTTTTGCAAATGCGAAGGGCACCTTCCTGAGCATGAGCAGCTCCTGATGGATGGCTTGTTCCCAGCCAGTACCAAGGATCCGGCGACAGCCTACGACGTCGGAAGCTTGGAAAAGGCCCTCATAGAGGAAGTTGAGTGTCATACGCCTGTTGAGTCGTATTGGAAGAAGATTTGCCGCTTTACGGTCCCAGAAGATCCGGCTGCCACCGTGGTTCGTACTCCATGACTTGTAAACGTGATCCATGATAACTCATATTTATGCAGAACAAATATGCGATTACAACTCGGGTTCATAGGGAGTTTAGAGCTCTGAGAGAGTATACAGAGTTTGGATTTGCCCATCAAGACCCCACCCAACGCCGGGAACCGCAGGCCGGTGAGATGGCCTATCGCTGCATTGCGTGCCCTTACATCTGGAATGTCCCTCGAAACTTCGATCTTTTGCCACAGCATCAGAAGGACAGGTACTTCAATGCATGGACCATAGATGGTAACATGAAGGCGGAACACACAACGCCCCGTCGTCCGGGAAATAATGTCCAAATCTTTCCGGGCACAGGGTTTCTAGCAGACCCTGACGACTTTGCCAGATGCACGAAGGTCGCCAAGACTGACCGTGATCTTCCTTCCACACAGTGGTGAGTGTAGTCAAAATTTGTGATGTCCGAATAGACCTTGATAGTTTATAAGACACAGGATCACGACTTATGTCACCAACATACTGCCGCAGGTGCCGGGTCGGCCAAAGCTGATCCTTCGAAAGACATCCGCGGCATCCTTTCCATCTGCTGCGCCCGGCATGGCGGCATGCTGCCGGGCGGGACGGTGGACATCTTCTTTGTAGAGAAGTGAGAAGCTCTCTTTGCTTGTAATGCGTTACTCATAGATTTCAGTCAAGCACAGGCCGACTACGCGCTGAATAACTCTATGAAGTTGAATCTGGACCCACGAATTTCCACACGCCTCATTATCGGCTACGATATCTGGTGCCAATACGGGGTTCATCTACTGGAGCGCTTCCGCCGTTTCGGGCACCTCTCTTTCCCAGAGTTTTTGACTGAACTCACCAGAATCGTGGGTGCCTGGCACATTTTTGCGCATGTTAGAGAGTGCTTCGGCCGGTTCTCAGGTCTGTATGTTTGGGGCATCGGCTTCATCGACATGGAGATTCTCGAGACGTTATGGTCTATTCTCAACATGATTACCCAGTCATGTCGGAATATGTCCCGTGCCAATAGGGAGGAGACCATCAACTTCAACATGAACGACATGAACCTGAAGAAAATTCGTAACATGAGTAAGTCGGCCGCGCCCGGCAGCCGCATGACACCTCTTCGGCACCCCGGCACCCCCGGCATGCCGGTTACTGACATATCTTCAGCTTCCACGATCATTCGCAAGTACAAGAAGAAGGTGGCCATTCGCGAACGTCGTATGGCACTGCTCGAGACCATGGACGGTCTATGCTCTAGTATTAGCCGTGCGCGCTGGAAGCATCAGCTGCAGGTGGTGTACCGTGAGCGCACGGTCCACTTGCGAAACCCTACAAGCTACAATGCGAAGTTTATGGACGACTTCCTGAACAGCTCGTTTATAAGTTGGTCATCATCCTGCTCCTTTACTTTGCGCCTGACTGTGTTTATTAGCACCCGACAAGCACGCGGTCGAGACAGAACTGATAGAACGCGAGAAGGAGGAATCGGACGAGCCTGGCCTTGTCAAGCTCATAATGAATGGCCTTCAAATTGAGATTGAGCAGTACGTGAGAGAACTTGAGCCAAATTGTATGTACTGAGAGTTACAGGCTCAGCTGGCAGGCATTCGAAAAGAACTACTCTCCGCTCTCAGAATCCAATCAACGCAAGCTTAGTGCGGCCAGGGCTTCGCTCAAAGCCAGGGTGAAGAAACACAACACGCTTGCAGTTGAGCTTCTAGGTCGTCTCCCGGATGGCGATCCCTTATTTGGCACTGGGGTGAGGTTGGGTGCTCTCAATGATGACGAGGACACAGAACCAGGGGAATGGCGCCGAGCCCGGCAGCCGGAGGCCCGGCAGCCGGGTACTCGGCACTCAAATCTTCGGCAGCCGGAGTACAGTCCCGTTGACCTTCCTTCCTCACGAGGCCTTCCTCTGGACACAGCTGTGATGGCTCGGGCCGGTGCCTACGAGATTGCCCTACGTGTGGCATGGATGGCACATCTTTTGCACGAGATCTGCATGAGCCTTGTCGTACAAGTCGAGATCTTTCGCCGCACCATCAAACGCACACCAGGATCACATCCAATGACGCAACGGGACAAAGCCCAAAGCTCCTCCAATATGCGCGAGCAGTATCAGTCTGTCCGTGTTTACGCTCAGCAGTATAACGTCTTCCGCGAGCGGATGCGAGGGCTGCAACCTGCCAAAGGCTTCAAGAACGCACATGCCGAGTATGCCGAGGCTGCCGATCGTGACCGGGGTCGGTATAGGCTTTTGCAGGCCAAGGACATACGCTGCGATGTCAACGCGTACGACTTGCTCAACTCTCACACGTTCAAGCTTCCTTGGTTTTGGAAGCTTACCGCCCGTCGCGAAGACATTTCTGACGAGATGTTCGTGCAAGAGTGTAAGTGCTATATCGTTAAAACATTCTTGGTCTCAACCTTGAGCAGTCTTCCGTATGCGATGGATCAACGCTCGCGCTGG